AAGCATTAAAATAACAATTAAATTAAGTACCTTAACATAATCAGTTAGACCAGTATTTGTGGCAACATGAAAGGCATACTATAAATTAAAAAATGTTTCACCATAATATTACAATTTTATTCATATTTACCCTACACATAAACACTCCACAGTCAATATAATTCTGCTGTCTAGGAACGTCCTATGATGTTTGTTTTGAAACATGTAATATTTATGTGCTTCAGTATACCTTTTCAACTAGCTTGTAGTTATGAAAATTGAATATAAAGATGGGCTTGAGCCAGGGCCAATTAAGTTATTCAGGTATGACAGTAACAGCCTAACAAAATAAAATTTATAACAGCAATAATACTTACTTCAATGCTTCCTTTGTCTTAGCAATATACCCTCCTATTGAGTCATAAGCTACTATTGATTGCTCACGGAAGTTAACAACCTTGCAACAAATACTGATTAAATTAATAATTTAGCTTTGACATACTATTAATATCCAGTGATGACAAAGACAGCAAGGCATAACAATAGCATCAATTTTTGAAAAGTCTTTTTCCTTCTAAAAATACATAAATTTATAAAATCACATCTTTCTTACTAGAAAGTAGCAATTCAATGAATCATCTGCTTGTCCCAGCATTAGTTTGGTAAAAACTGTTGTTGGCAACAAGTAAAAAAAAGTGCTCTGGAAATGAAATAGCATAAGGCAACAATAAATTTTAGAAATATTTACTTCTAGTGATGTCAACTTTTCAGGAAATTCCTCCAAAAATATATATACCAGGGCATAATTAATAATCTTAATGAAAGGTAACAAAATGAATAAACTTGACACAGTCTACATAAAGTAGATACATACTTGATCATTCAACCATTCTCCATTGTAAACTGTAGCAAAATCCGCTACATCAAGCAATGTCCCTTTTGCTTTTGCCAGATATTTTCTGGTACCTATCAAACAAAATAAACTAATAATGGCACTTCCGAAATGTTCCACAATATCACACTTGATTGCTCAGACTTCTCTTCTTCAATAAGTATAGGCAACGATTTTGATCTTTCTTTTGTATTAGGTGATACATGTGTCTTGTCCTTTTTTTTGGCAAAATCCGACTCTTTGAATCCTGTATGCATGCATTTGTGATTATTTTTACATCATATAATGCAGTAAAATCTAAAAACCTTTTATCTCCTGGCACTTTTTATGTATACAACATTGCCTTAGCTTTCCACTTCCACCATACTTAGGTTTATCGAGGCAATATTTGCATTTGCCACATTCAGCACTCCGGCACCCTTGACAGCAACCACAACGTTTACGCTTTCTTGTCCCTGGTAATTTCAGCAGTAAGTAATTTAACAAAGTCTTTACGTTGACATGCTTACCACCAGATGTAGCAATATTCTCACTCTCACATGTAAAAGCAAGGCCATCATTGCTTGCACTAATTGAAGTGTCTTGTGTACATGTATCTATTTCCTTATTATCTGTAAAAATTGTTGATTGATAATGCATGAAAAATATTACATGTAGTTGCTTTACCATTATTGGTACTAGTAGTTAAAGGCACATGTGGATTACTGGGACTTAGCGAATTCTGACAGCCATTAGTGTGGTACAAAAATTTATTAGCAGGGAAGGGCAACTTGCACCTATCACAACTCGATACATTCTCATGACCTGAAACACCCCTATTTAATGATTATAAAGCCATGGAATATAAACATAACACATACCACTGGGCCATGTCATTAGCAATTTCCTTTCTCAGGGAAATATCATCAATCACCTAATAAAGGACATAAAATCAACTTGGTAGCTATGCTAGTAGGGTAAAATTACTCACAACAAAATCCAAACTTTGCGCTATTAAGCAACACTTTGCATACTATTAAACAAATTGCAATGATATTGTGATAC